TTCTTCCCCTTCCCGCTCCGCACAAGACTCTTCCTCTCCCATCCCTTCCCCCCCCCCGCACAAGCCCCTTTCTCTCTCACCCCTTCCCCCTCCCCACAAGCCCCTTCCTCTCCCACCTCTTCCCCCTAGTTTTCCCCCTCCCTTACCTTCTGCCTTCCACTTTGCAGGGCCAGAGTCTGTGCCTGGCATCCCTTCCCCCCCCCCGCACAAGCCCCTTTCTCTCTCACCCCTTCCCCCTCCCCACAAGCCCCTTCCTCTCCCACCTCTTCCCCCTAGTTTTCCCCCTCCCTTACCTTCTGCCTTCCACTTTGCAGGGCCAGAGTCTGTGCCTGGACTCTGAACCTGGAGCTAGGGCTAAGCGGTGCAATGCAGCGCTGAGCAGTTTTAAAGTCCCGGGCCGTGACGTCACGTCATGCCCGGGTGTCTCCCTGCTCACCTGCGGGGGGCGGGGAGCCGGACTGAAAGCTGTGCACGGCAGGGACGGGATGGGACCAAGGGGGACACTGTGGGGCCGGCCGGGGTGAGAGGACACGCGGGGAGGCTGGCAGGTGGGGTCCGGGGACCGCTCCAGGCAGAGCCAGGGGAGAGACCCATCTCCAAATATTGGTGGAGCAGGGCCCCCGGCTCTGAATATTAACTCGCCGCCCATGGCGCCCAGCACACTTCCGGGTTCAGGCCGTGGGGCCCCTTTAGGCGCGGGGCCTGATTCAGGGGAATCGGGCGAATCAGCCTAAGGCTGGCCCTGGTTGACCCCCTTCTCCCTCTCTCCCGTTCCCAGAGAGCACTCTGAGGGCTCCCAAGAACCTGCAAGGCAGAGATCCTGACGCTCATTGAGGTGTGCAGCGAGGAAGAAAACCTCCAGGATCTCCACTCCAGACGGCGCAACGCTGACATCTAAGGCCACATGGCCAATACCCTGGCCACATCCAGACCCAGGAGCAGGCCCAGATGAAAGTTAAAGAGTTCTGCCACAGTAAGGGGGCACAGCTCCCACTCCAGGGCAACACCACACTCCTTCCCCTATTACCAAGACCTGCACCACATCCTGGGGGGCAGTGCAGCCCTTGACCCACCCTGGTGATCAACTCAGAGCTGGAGACACCTGTCATCACCCACCCAAGGGCCAGAGCCGGGGAGGAGAAGGAGGAGGACCACAACGCAGCCAGCTCCATCACCTCAATGACACTGGAGCCAGTACCCAATGGCCTGGATGTGTCCCAGGCATCCTCCAAAGCTGGGGAGGGAACATCAAGTGAGTGACCTTAGTATTCTCACACAGACAGGGTGGAGGTTGGTTGGTGTGTGCTCCTCGCTCAGCCTTCTTGGCCTGAGGAATTGCACTGCAGGCCATGCACAAAGATGCACATGCAGTGGCAGTCTGGGCCACACAGCCCCAGAAGGCTGCATTGGAGCACCCTGGGTTCCTAATCACAGGTTCTAGGGAGGCCAACCACACTTCAGACATGCAGGTGGGACACCCTCCCACCACAAGAAGAAAGCTGGGGACAAGGACACACAGACTCTGGAGTACCACATACAGCACGTGAGGATGCCTGCACACTTGAGGCAACACCCACTCCTGGGAACAGGGCTGCCAGGTATAGATGTCTGCTGCTCACAACCTCCTCCCCCCACAACCTTATCCCTTCTCCCCCAGCGGCCAGGGATACAAGTTCTCTCCCCTTGGGATACCACCACTGCTGGACCCAGTGTGTGGGGGGCAACAAGGCAAGCCCAGCCATCCCAAGGCCCCCTCCCACCCATAGTATGACCAGCAACCTCCCATGCCTGCTTGCCCCTGGGATGTGGGGGAAGGGGGAAGCAGGCCACACATAGACTTGCTCCTAGGATATCACCTTAATCTGACCTGAGAACTGACAGTCTCGGCTCAAGGTTGAGGGCAAAGCTTCAGAGACAGTGTCTCCAGGAATGACTGACCATCTCTTTTTATTCTCCCCTTTTGGCCAGCCGCAAGAGGAGGACAGGCAATACCACCTGAGGCAGCCGCCTGATACTGGAGAAGATGCAGGCATCGGAGAATGCAGGAAGAACTGATGCAGGAGCACTTCTCCATACTCTGGGCCCTGCACAAGACACTGGACCAGAGGCTACAGGACAACATGCAGTGGTAGTAAGAGAGCTGGACAGAGTTGCTGCAGCAGAGATGCAACATGTGCACAACAATGCAGGATCTCTTTACCCACCTGGAGTCAGCTCCTGCTCCTCCCTTGCCTGCCAGCTTCTGCCTCTCCTCCT